ATCATTTCAACAGATAAGTAGAATTTGATATTCTTTAATATATAAAAAATTAAAAACACTCTGTTGTAGACATTTGTTTTCTGACAAGTCATTGGCTTGCATTATAATATATGGAATTCAAACCTCCGCTTTTGCACTTTTTCTAAATTGAAAGATGTAGGAGGTTCAGGATTGAAAATTATAAAATCTTGGTCAAATAATCCATTTCTTGAAAGGTCTTTGAGTACCAACAAATTGGAGTTATTCAGAATAATTTCATATTTATTTCCTTAAAAGGAAATATTCTTTTGGAAAGTCCAAAATACCTCCAATTAAAGTCTCACCTTAGGTCAGTTATTACTTTTTTTTCTGGAAAGTTGCATCTTAAGGCTTTCCAAAGTTTATAAATTCTATGGTTAACATCAGCTGTGCACATAGTATTTCAAAACATTTGCACTTTGAAACAAAATAAATACAAAAACAAAAAGGTAGAAATTATTCTAGCCTAAATAATAATATACCTGTCTAGCTGAGAGGGTGAGTTTGTCCTCAAATACGGTCCAGATGACACTCTCGAAGCATCCGGGGGTGGTCAGGGACCCATTGTACCTATAGAACTTAGAGGTGTCCTCGGGAAGGAAGTTCTTAATCGCCTGAGCTTCAACCTTGACCTTTGCATGGTCCTCTGAGAAACAAAATATGCAGAGTTAGCTACTGTAAATCACTTTTTATTTGCGAGAACTTTATTTTCGCGTAATTACGCGAGACGGTATGCTCGCAAAAAATTTAATTCTCATGTATAATAGAATTCATTAAGATTATATAGAGTGACGACCACAATTCATGAAAATTTTGTCTCGCTTATAAAGAGTCAATGACTATCTCGCGAAAATAAAGTGTCGCGAAAATATAGTGATCTACAGTATACAGCATTTTAATTTCTTTGACATTGCATGACCTTTGATTTTTTTTCTGATTACAGTTTGTCCACTATTTTCCTGATTTCAATGAAATGTATTTCAGATGATGTTGATTTGCTGCATTATCTGCATGGGTAAAAAGCTGACAAACTAACTATAATATAGCATCCAAATCTTTCACTGTATTCTTTACTTCAGGCTCTTTTATTTAAGATACAAGTTGAACTGGCTTCAAGTCAAATAAGTTTTTGTTTAGATATTTTTTTGTATGGAAAAGTGCATGCCTTTTTTTGAAAAAAAAGTACCATGGTAATTTTAATGTCCAAAGACTGCATGCATTTAGTATGTGACATAGTCACATATTGAATATTCATTTTTACCTGGGTCTCGGACCACTTTCATTGCTTGTATGATTGGTTCTAAGGCTTCGTTATCTTTCTCTCCTATCTATGTAAAAATAAAAAGATATTAATTATAAAATATTTCCTCCAATATTGTGAAACAGCTGACAGTTATGACTTGAACCACTGGAAGCCATTTTACAGAAAATAGAGGCAAACAATTAATATATTAAAATCTCTGGTTCTAGAGTAAATATAACAATCAACTAACTGATATCTGATTTTATATATTAAAGAATAATAAAATAATATCTATAGCTGAATGCAAAACATCTTTCTCTTGAAACCTGGAGTATGCTTCATAGTGAATTGGTTGCCCCCACCCCCTTTTTTATGTCCTTGTTACATGTATTTCAAATCATCTTGGTCCCATTTAAGTTTGAGATAATGAAGTTTGAATAGTTACAAGGCCAAGATGAAGAGTGTAACTTACCCTGAAGAGTACTCCAAGGACAGCAAGACCACCTGCTTCTGTCATGGCTTGACCAATGGAGGAATAGGTCACTGAGTCATAGTTAACTATGTGTAGCTGTAAAGGTCAATTAATTAATCAGTTTAATTTAATTGACCTAATATTAGCTCATTTCAAGAGAAAAAGAATCAAACATATAATATTAAGTCTGAATAGCTTAGGATTTTTGCAAAATAAGAATTTTTCTGTTGTTTGTAGGAGTTATCTATCTTTTATGAAATTATAAGTTAAAGTCATCTCACTCACTTCAAGTGGGAAGGACCGTCCATCTATCTGATGTTCTGATCCAAAGCTGTCCTCTGATCCCCAGTGGAAGTGGAACTGGGCAGTGCTGTACACTGAGGACAATCCACCGTTAGCTACATAGTATGGCCCAATAGTGTTGACTTGTACTGTAAAGAAAGCATTATCAGATACTTATCATCTGCATAATATCTATGGGGATAAAGATTAATCAATGGAATTCCTAAGTTTTTTTGAGACCACATTTGGAATGTGCTAATAAGAGATGTGAGTTTTGAATCATAAACTGTAAAACTGCTTAATTGGGTTGATTGAATCAGGCAAATTTGGTCCCACTATAAAAGAACACATATGTAAAATTCTCACATCATGACAAAGATGAAGACACGCTTGGAGGACTTTAGAAAAAATTCTTATCATATAATTAACATGCATCTTTAAAGAAGAAGGTAGAAAAAAGGAATCTGAGCCTTCGCAGTAACATGACTAAGTTCTTTCCAAATAATCCCGAGTCAGTGTAACAAACCTGTATGTCCGTTATTAAGGACGTAGAACTCGGCTCCGGGGGCAGGTGGGTCATACCAGAAGATGAAGTTATTGATGTCGGGGTTGAAGATGGTCTTCTCCCTCTCAATATTTATAGGGGACTGGTGGGATCCCAGACAGGAGTTATCAAACAAAGTGTGCCAGTTGGAGGGACCTGTTAAAAAATAATGGAAAATATATACAATGTATTTTTAACTAGAAATATGTCCATAGGACATGAATGCCCCGCCGATGATATATCAGTAAAGCAACATGAAAATTTGTATGTGTATAAAATTTGATCAGAATATCCAGAATAGTGATGCTGCTGAATTGCTTGTTTGGAAAATATAGGTCAGATCCAGCATCCGAAGCAAGTCTGGTAGTGTCCATCCCTAGATGCATCATCCATGAAAGTTTGGTTCAGGTAGGGCTTATAGTTACTTGGGAATGAAAATATAGGTCAGATCCAGCATTCGAAGCAAGTCTGGTAGTGTCCATCCCTAGATGCATCATTCATGTAAGTTTGGTTCAGGTAGGGCTTATAGTTACTTGGGAATGAAAATATAGGTCAGATCCAGCATCCGAAGCAAGTCTGGTAGTGTCCATCCCTAGATGCATCATTCATGTAAGTTTGGTTCAGGTAGGGCTTATAGTTACTTGGGAATAAAAATATAGGTCAGATCCAGCATCCGAAGCAAGTCAGGTAGTGTCCATCCCTAGATGCATCATCCATGCAAGTTTGGATCAGGTAGGACTTATAGTTACTAAGGAATGAAAATATAGGTCAGATCCAGTATCTGAAGCAAGTCAGGTAGTGTCCATCCCTAGATGCATCATCCATGCAAGTTTGGTTCAGGTAGGACTTATAGTTACTAAGGAATGAAAATATAGGTCAGATCCAGCATCCGAACGCAGCTAGGATAAGGCTGCCCGTAAAATATCAAACTGTTCAAACTGTAGTTACTTCTTTGAACTACCTAGATATGACGTCATAATAGAATATGACGTCAAGTCACTGCATACTTGAGCTGACATGACGGGGAAAGTGTCATAATTATTACACGGCATATAAATTTATTATGGGGATTTGTGTTTAATTCAAGAGTAAGGTTTGTTTTTTTAAGCTTGTTTGTGCTGTTATAATGTTTAACATTTGATATTTAAATATCTCTATTCCTTTTGCTTGTCCGATATGCATTAATTCGAGATAAGCAAAAAATTATGTTTGAAACGCTCCCCTTACACATCCGTATACAGAGTTAGAATTTATGAATCGTGTTTATATTGGACTGGCACAAGTGAAAGACAAGGATAAATGGAAGATATATTGCGTGATTCTAAAAGAGAAGCATGTCTTCTAACTGAATTTTGCTGGGGGATTGTATGTATTTTATCCGTTTTTGTATAAATCGCGATAAAGAGTGGAAAATACCCCTTCTTACGTTGTTAATTTTAATTTATCGTAAAATATTTTCTTAAGAAGACAAAATTAAACCTGCCCCCAGCACTTTTTAAGTACCATGGATCACGATGAATTGATCTATATAACAAACTTTGCACAATAATTGTGTTATGCACTTGTGCCGATGCGATTTTTGTACAACATTTAAGAATATCGAAATGTGTCCGTCACGTGATCAACACAGTCATCTGACATCACAGAAATGCTGTATTATAATACCTGATTAAACTATTATCTCGAGTTGACTGCAATTTCAAACAAGGATAACATATTGAAATTAAAATCTAGCCCAAAATAAAGTGTATATTTTTAAGACATTTTAAGCCTTCGGACAGCCTTATCATAACTGCGAAGCAGGTCTAGTAGTGTCCATCCCTAAATGCATCATCCATGTAAGCTTGGTTCAGGTAAGGCTTATAGTTACTTTGAAATGAAAATATAGGTCAGATCCAGCATCCGAAGCAAGTCTGGTAGTGTCCATCCCTAAATGCATCATTCATGTAAGTTTGGTTCAGGTAGGGCTTATAGTTACTAAGGAATGAAAATATAGGTCAGATCCAGCATCCAAAGCAAGTCTGGTAGTGTCCATCCCTAGATGCATCATCCATGCAAGTTTGGTTCAAGTAGGGCTTATAGATACTTGGGAATGAAAATATAGGTCAGATCCAGCATCCGAAGCAAGTCAGGTAGTGTCCATCCCTAGATGCATCATCCATGCAAGTTTGGTTCAGGTAGGACTTATAGTTACTTGGGAATGAAAATATAGGTCAGATTCAGCATCCGAAGCAAATTTGGTGGTGTCCATCCCTAGATGCATCATTCATGTAAGTTTGGTTCAGGTAGGGCTTATAGTTACTTGGGAATAAAAATATAGGTCAGATCCAGCATCCGAAGCAAGTCTGGTAGTGTCCATCCCTAGATGCATCATCCATGCAAGTTTGGTTCAGGTAGGGCTTATAGTTACTTGGAAATGAAAAATAGGTCAGATCCAGCATCCGAAGCAAGTCTGGTAGTGTCCATCCAAAGATGCATCATCCATATAAGTTTGGTTCAGGTAGGGCTTATAGTTACTAAGGAATGAAAATATAGGTCAGATTCAGCATCCGAAGCAAGTTTGGTGGTGTCCATCCCTAGATGCATCATCCATGCAATTTTGGTTTTGGTAGGGCTTATAGTTACTTGGAAATGAAAAATAGGTCAGATCCAGCATTCGAAGCAAGTCTGGAAGTGTCCATCCCTAGATGCATCATTCATGTAAGTTTGGTTCAGGTAGGGCGTATAGTTACTTGGGAATAAAAATATAGGTCAGATCCAGCATCCGAAGCAAGTCAGGTAGTGTCCATCCCTAGATGCATCATCCATGCAAGTTTGGTTCAGGTAGGGCTTATAGTTACTTGGAAATGAAAATATAGGTCAGATCCAGCATCCGAAGCAAGTCTGGTAGTGTCCATCCAAAGATGCATCATCCATGTAAGTTTGGTTCAGGTAGGGCTTATAGTTACTTGGGAATGAAAATATAGGTCAGATCCAGCATCCGAAGCAAGTCTGGTAGTGTCCATCCCTAGATGCATCATCCATGCAAGTTTGGTCCAAGTAGGGTTTATAGTTCCTTAGGAATGGACCTGCTCTAAAAACTTTAACCTGGTCACTCATCTGGAAATTGTAGGTCAGATCCAGCATCCGAAGCAAGTCTGGAAGTGTCCATCCCTAGATGCATCATTCATGTAAGTTTGGTTCAGGTAGGGCGTATAGTTACTTGGGAATAAAAATATAGGTCAGATCCAGCATCTGAAGCAAGTCAGGTAGTGTCCATCCCTAGATGCATCATCCATGCAAGTTTGGTTCAGGTAGGGCTTATAGTTACTTGGAAATGAAAATATAGGTCAGATCCAGCATCCGAAGCAAGTCTGGTAGTGTCCATCCAAAGATGCATCATCCATGTAAGTTTGGTTCAGGTAGGGCTTATAGTTACTTGGGAATGAAAATATAGGTCAGATCCAGCATCTGAAGCAAGTCTGGTAGTGTCCATCCCTAGATGCATCATCCATGCAAGTTTGGTCCAAGTAGGGTTTATAGTTCCTTAGGAATGGACCTGCTCTAAAAACTTTAACCTGGTCACTCATCTGGAAATTGTAGGTCAGATCCAGCATCCGAAGCAAGTCTGGTAGTGTCCATCCCTAGATGCATCATCCATGCAAGTTTGGTCCAAGTAGGGCTTATAGTTCCTTAGGAATGGACCTGTTCCTAAAACTTTTACCTGGTCACTCGTCTTGAAAATGTCAGTCAGATCCAGCATCCGAAGCAAGTCTGGTAGTGTTCATCCCTAGACGAACCATAGCTCTCATCAATATCTATCAGCATATGAAGTTTGATGAAAATATCTTGGATAGTTTCTTTGAAACTTAGCTTTGAACAGAGCTAAACGCAAAGTGTGACGGAAGGACGGAAGGACAGAAGGACAGAAGGACGGAAGACGGACATGACAAACACTATATGCCCCGGCCATATTCATGGCGGGGCATAAAAATTACGTTTTAATTTTTGTCTATACTGGTATGGTTGACTTTTTTCACCTTAATGATGTGCAATAGTTCATGGTTTAGACACAAGACAAATTTTTAATAATAGCATCTATTAATTAAAGAATAGATGCCTTTATTTTATGAGGAAAACTTTGTTGCTGCTATTTGAGTTGGGTTAGCTATAAATTAGATCGGGTTCGGGATATCTCAAATTCCCCCTCTTTGCCCTGGATCCTAAGAACGAAAGGTATACGATTTTTGTAGCAGACAGAATTTTCAAAAAATATGCTTTCAATCACGATTGCTTCTAAATAAACGTGTACAAAATCATGTTTGTTTTATTTTCCTCTATATAAATAATTGATATGGCATGTTGTGAATTGAACTATGATATTTTAGGAGAAATATGATTTCTGTAAGCAATTTCTTGCTAGTAAGCCTGATTGAACAGTCTATACAGCTTTATAAAAAAAAAATTCTAGACATGCATTCACCTTTCTTGCCAGTGTATCCCCAGTAAATCTTTTTTGAGGGACCTGCAATGAAAATGAAAACAATAATATTACGCATTTCCCAATAGAGTTTTCTATTCACTTATCTAACTGATAAATTGTGTAATCTGTAGGACTATTTGCATTATCAGAGATGACAGCTCTGTTGTTAACATAAGAAAATGATGTAACACTACTTCTCGCTGATTCTTAATTTACAATATATTCTATTTTGGAGTTCAGTATAATGATGTATCAAAGACGTACAATATTCTACTGGGCTAATGGGGTAGTAAAACTGCATATTGCACGTCAGTTTGGGTTGCTATTTTAATCATCTCATTGACAAAAATGGAAAAAAAAACAATAGTGACTGTTTCATTTTGTGATTCAAGAATTAAATATTATAACTCGCAGACAACCTTGTAGTCAATATTTGATTTTAAAGGTCAACTGATTAAATTTTTGCCAAATTGATGCTGAAAAAGATGCAAGATTTGATTGGATGATAAAAACAAATGATTATCCAATCAATTTTTCACAATAATCATTTTAGTCCATTGTACAGTAAGAAAAAACTTGAAATGCAAAAAGATCAAGTGAAAGTAACTATATATAATCAAAAAAAATTTATAATTTCTTGAATCTCGGATTTCAGCCAATTGGAAAAATAAATAAATAAAAAATATTTATGATAAATGTCGTTTGAGAAATTTTAGTGAGACACAATAAATTTAGTGATTTTTCCTTGAAAATTGGAAATATTCTATTTTTAGCAAGATTTAAATTAGCGATTTTAAAATGATCACTAAAGAGCCTTTTTACAAAAATAATGCAATTTATTTTTAGGGATATAGATGTATTTAATTTTATCAATCTCATCACTCCAGCTAATAATGTCAAAATTTAATTCCTTTCTAAAATTCTGCTTATCTGGTACAACATTTTAATCACTCATGTAATAAATTGACTTGTCTGAAAACTAGTTTTAAGCCACTGCTATTCAAGGTCTTTGATGCTTCAGATCATCTTGATAAATACTTGCCCAGCAATGCTGGAAGATAAATGATAATTCCTCTATGCTGTTATACAACAGCCATTATTTTATACCTTTTTTGGCTCTATCTTAAATAATGAGTACACAGTCCTCACGGTGTTGAGTGGCTGTACGGGGCAGTAATTATTGTACAGGGCCATTATTTTATACCTTTTTTGGCTCTATCTTATATGATGAGTAGACAGTCCTCACGGTGTTGAGTGGCTGTACGGGGCAGTAATTATTGTACAGGGCCATTATTTATACCTTTTTTGGGTTCTATCTTGAATGATGAGTACACAGTCCTGGTGTTCAGCGGCTGTACGGGGCGATAATTATCATACAAAGCCTCCTGTATGAAGGCCTGGGGGATGTCCTCCAGTTTCACCGCTTCGTCTTCACTCATGTTGTGTGTCATTTGGTATTCCTGTAAACATAAATTGTAATTTTATTATATGTATACAAGGTTATTTTTGCAATGTGTTATTTTTTGCCCCTTTCCACTTGCTAACAATTTTGCCCTGTTTTAAATTCGCCCTGTTTAAGAAATGATTATTACAGTGTTCTTTGAATTTGCCATGTTTTAAAGTTGTTTTATCATTGCAGATAATTTAATGATAATTTTTTTACTTAATTTGGGGATCATGGGTGTTCCATCAAGATAAATGTTTTAATAAAAAAAGCACAGTCCAGTGTGATCTCAATCCTCACAAGGTAGTAGAAGGGGGAATCAGATCGAATTGCCTTTTTTAGTTTGTGAGTGGGTGGCGAAGTTTGATGCCAGTGGAAGTACAATGTAATAATTAATTTACTCCATGATGAATGTGCTGACTCTTGGGATGGGGATAGCTACACTTTTAAGTGCCTTTGGTTGTTTCTGAGTTGTTTTTTTTTTTGTCTGTCATCTTAATTTGAAATATTTTTGGAGCAAAATAGTCATTATTTATGGGATTTCATATTTTATAGGAAGGTCATGGTCCAAGTTCTGTAGGCGACCTGGTCAAAGTCATTTTTCTAGGTCAAAGTCATATAACTTTGTCCTAACACTTGAAGCATTTCAATTATCAAGTTTATCAGAGTTTTTGAATGATTTTTTTCTTTCCAAAATATGTCTGAACAAAACTGAAACTTTTTAAAATTTCTATTGTAAATAAACATTATGCAATAATATACTTGTAATTGCGACACAGTAATTGAAATAGTAGATTGTATACAAAGAATGTAAAAACTTCATATTCTTACGCATTAACTTATAGAAGCACATGTCCTTCAACTATATTGTATGTAGTTTCGAAAACCTGACCAATGTGACAATAATTTTAGTGCATAAAGTATTTATTTCAAACTTTTTTGAAAAAGAATTTATTAGTCTGAAGAAACTGCAGCTGCTTCCAATACCATTTTTAATCCCAAACAAAACCTACCAGTACAATGTATTGATTCATATAGGTTCTCTAAAAGGGTTGTTTTGGTACTTTACAAAAAAAAAAATGCGACAGAAAAAATCTATACCCCAAAAAAATTAGGTTAAATATTTATATAAGGTTAAAACATTGATTCCTAACAATTGTCTTTTAAACCATTCATCACAGAAATTTTGATTGACTTTAACAGATTATTCAAAGCCTTTTGCATCTATCTTTTGGAATTTAATCATACAGAAACAACATAAAATTTATTAGACGGCCCGGCATGCAATTTGAACGCCAGGAGATGTAAATTTGGCCAGTTTATTTTTCTTAGGAAACTGTGTTTTGAAAATTAAGGCTGAATTGGTAGAGAACAGCATGCAAAGATGCCACAAATCTGCAATCTCATCAAATATTAATTAGCATTATTTATTGCGCTTCAAAATGAACATGCTTTAAAATGTTTGATTTATATAACCGTGTTTCTTCATGCAAGTTGTATTTCTGACAATACATCAATAACAATTTTATAGAGTATTTTGTTCATCAATTCATGGCAAGTTGAAAGACAGAGCTCACATCTATTTTTGTGTTAAGTATAATATGTCAAGGACAAGTGATTTTTCTTTGTTATAATAAACAGAAAATGTTATATTTAAGAATTAAATTTCATTTTAGGTATACGTCTATGGGGATGAAAAACCACTTTGATTTCTGCATCAATTCATTATAAAGCATGTTTGATATAAGCAAGTTTGACAGTATTTGTAGGGCCTGTCCACTTTTTTATCGGAATTTGGAAGGATGCTAATAATTGGCATTATAATTTCTCAGTTTTGCTTTCTAGCCAAATCTAATGTTACACTACATTTATATAATAACTATAGGCACACAGGATGGGTTTGTATGATTACTAATGTAGCCTCAAGGTTTTTCTCACATTTTATCCATTTTGGGGGTTTTAATGTGTAAAATATAATTATTTTTGCATACTTTGATCTGACATATGCCTCCAAGTTTCATATACTAGGACAAAATTAGGTTCCAATGATCATACGATCGGAAAGGCATTGTTCTGTAAGTGCTTCATAACAATAAATAATAAATAAACTCTCCTATTCACAATGTAACATAACAATCTAAAGAACACCTCATAGATGTTTTCTAATAACGTAACAGATTAGCCATGATGAGGCATAATATTCCCTCACCATTTTAATAATACATGACTAATATGACAAACTGTGTTTACCCTCCCAACTTAGTCTAAGGGCCATTGAACCAAAACAATTGCATGCTGCAGTCGACTGAAATGCTGTTTTGCCTTTTCCCTCAGTCTGGGGACCTCTACTTTTAGCTAATATTATGTGTTATGAGGACACTATTTTCTGTACCTTTATAATGGTCCCCTCCTGCAGTTTGACTGGCTCCCTCTGTGTGAGGTTGACTGAGGGTCACTATTCCTCCCTACATTACTTTGTGTATAATGAGGACCACTATTTTATTACCTTTATTATGGTGCCCTCCTGTACTTTAGCCTGCTCTCTCTGTCTACATGAGGACCACTATTCCTCCCTCCTATTACATACCTTTATAATGGTGCCCTCCTGTTTTTTAGCTTGCTCCCTCTGTCTGAGGACCACTATTTCTCTGTTTATTACATACCTATATAATGGTGCCCTCCTGTTTTTAGCCTCCTCCCTGTCTGAGGACCACTATTTCTCTGTTAACATACCTTTATTATGGTGCCCTCCTGCTTTTTAGCCTCCTCCCTCTGTCTCTTCTCCATCTGTAACTCCAGTGACAGCTCCTCCAGGACCTTTCCTTTGATTCCCACCTCGTCCAGGACCTCCTCAGCGGCCAGCTCACGGCGACCTTTAGTGCTCCTCTTCCTCCTCTCCTGTCTCTTCTTGTGTTGGAGGAGAGTACGGAACATTCTCATCTGTATTAATAAAAAACAGAATAACAGCGGGGAAAAATGGGAAGAATTTTGGGAGTTTTATGTTTGGTTTAAATTTAAGAAATAAATCTTATTCAGGGAATATGGCATTGTGAAAATAAATTTCTCTTTTGGCATATTCTATTATTAATTTCTATTTTAAATTATTTTTTAAGAGAAGCACATCAGGCTTAGATAGATAGTTCTTAAAGTTAGTTATGGTATGTAGAACTTCACTTGGCTTTGTACGGACTTAATTAGAAATTTTAAGTTTCAACTATGAAATTTAATTTTAAAATGTGCTGGTAATGTTAATTGTTTGTACCTGTCGGTGGGAAATGGTGCGTTTCTGATCAAACACGGTCCAGATGACGCTCTCAAAACATCCGGGTGTGGTCAGGGAGCCATTGTAACGGAAATAGCGGGACGTATCCTCAGGAAGAAAGTTTCTGATGGGCTGGGCATCGATACGGGCCTTGACCTTTGCTCCTGCAATAACAATAAATTAACTTCCTGTTTTGAACGGCAAAATGACTTAGTGAGACATATCCATGTAGGTGGCTGTTTATTACGTTCTTGTTGATGAATTTCGTGGTTAATTGACTGAATTTTATGTTACCTGGATCTCTGACTGTGTTCATGGCGTTGATGATCGGTTCTAACGCGGGATTGTCCTCGTCGACGATCTGTTGATTTCAAATAAAGAGACATATATGAAGAATTCTGTTAGGTAATCAACCCCTTGTTTACTTCATTAATACATTTATATAGTGTGAAACACTTAATTTACTACATGTTGAACTATCTCTCTGTATGGTATAGATGTTTTATTGCTTTTTTTCATTATTGCTTTACACATTAAAATCTTCAAGATGAGATGCAAAAATACCATTATTTTCATTCATTAATATGTGTTTATTAAAAAAAGTATTTTGAAAATTTGATCAAATTAACTTTCTGTTAATCCTAGCATTTACTACAGCTGAGTGTTGCAGCCAGTGTTCCATTTTATTACAGTTGTATCATGGTCTTTCTAATAAGAGCTCTTGTTATATAAATTTAATGGTGATTAAAATTTTGCTCTCAGTTTGGTGTAAGAGTGTGTTTCCTTACTTCATACATGACTCCTAGGACGGCGAGACCCTCTGGCTGGACCATGGCTTCTGTGATCATGTCATACGTATCAGAATTATAACTGACAACGTGGAGCTACAAGCAGAGAGGAGAACACAATTAAAGGGGAATAACTCTAATTCAAAAACTCCTGATTTTATAGTTGTAAGCTAGAGTTGTCTTTCTTTAGATATTCATACCTCCAATGGGCTGGCGTGTCCATCTATCTTGTGCTCTGACCCGTGGTCATTTTTGTGGCCCCAGTGGAAGTGGAACTGGACGGTGTTGTAGGTAGCCGGGAGACCACCATTTGTCACATAAAACGGACCCACTGTGTCAACTTGGACTATTTAATTTAAAGAAAAAACAGGAGAGATGAGAATTGATAAATTTAACTATTTCATCATTAAATAAATTATGTCAGCTAGAGTTTGATAAAGATTAAATTGATTTCCAACTTCTTATGATAGTTTAATATTTAATTTTGGTACAAGATATTGGAATTGGTTATGGATATTTAAACCTTAAATAAAACCTTATTTTATGCTAAGAATACTTAAAAAGAGGTACCATTTTTGACATTTAATTCTTTTTGCCACACAAAGATCAACATTTAAATACATGCAGAGTAACACATAATGCATATTACTTGTGTGTCCGTTGTTGGTGACGTCGAAGTACGACCCTGGTTGTGGGGGGTCATGCCAGATAGCGAAGTCATTCAGGGCGGGGTCGTAGATCGCCTTCTCCCTCTCAATGTTGATCGGGGACTGACTCAGTCCAGAACAGGCATTGTCAAACAGCTTGTGCCAATGCTGGGGGCCTGAATCGTAACAAAAGACAAAATTAAAATTTATGTTTTACATTTTATTACAACTGTATGCATTTTTTTTGCGTGAGCTAGTAAAGTGTTTTACACATTTTTAATATAATTAAAACAACTAAGGTATCATTTTTTAAACAAATATCAATTGGGATATAATTTTGTTACCAGTGTTATATAATAGAAATGTAAATAAACATGTACAATGACATGTATGTAGATATCATAACAAGCTTGTTTACTTGAACTACCTGTAAACATTGATAACAACATTCTTCAGTACAGATATAGTATTGAATATATTTACACTCATTTGTAATGAGAATCAATGATACCATAATAAAATTTACCTCCAATCTTTTTTTGAAAGAGGCAGTTTTCACTACTAATTTTGACAAATTTTAAAATATATGCACATGCATTGAATATTCACATAAGTAAATAAAAGGTGGATTTATATGTAATTCAGCCCCAATTTTAGTTTGGCTAAAATAGAAGTCAACGTACATCTCCTTGTGACCTTGTTTTTTGACCGTGATCTTATTTTGATAAATAATGTATACTTAGGGGGTACGCCATGGCTATAGATGGTTTGGTTGTCAATATCGGACATATTTTAAACTGGTCAACGATGAATGTCAAATTGTTTTGAAATTTTAAAATTTGCAACCTTCTTATTTTTCAATCTATGTATTCATAATATGCATGTACAGTACGATTTAATATCTTGGCAAATATTAAATTTTCACTTTATAGCATGTTGATCATTTATGGTAATAGAAGGTGTGCCCTTATTCATATTTGGAATGCATTGATATCATTTCAGAAATTAAAAACAAAGGTGCATGCAGATTAATTCTGATTTAATTACTGATTAGTTGCAGATTAAGAAGAACAAGCATTATTTAATACTATGTTAACAAATGAACCCTTTATGTTTTGAAAGGTTAAATGTCCAAATATGTCATTGAACTTTTTAGAGCAATTAATTTCTTTGTGTCTTTTTTTTTTGGCAGTAAAGTCAAAAACATCTGTCAAATTTAAGAAAATTAAAACCAAAGCTGAAAATTCCAACCTATTGAATTTCATTATACAGCATACCAGTATTCGTATGTAATATGATTCTAGAAGTCTTATAAAGAATACATTTAATTTAGTAATTTACTGTATACACATGTACAAGTATCACTTCTATCTCTCTCTCTCTCTCTCTCTCTCTCTCTTGAACACAGTCATACATAAACACTTGTCTTGCAAATGACTTTAGCAAAAGAATATTTACTGAAATGCAAATTTATAATTCACATAAGGAATGTGTGTTTGAAGAAATGCCATTTACTTGTAGTACAAGAATATTTTTTTCTTGATAATTAATGCACATTTCAAATTATTCTACTAGCAATGCCATTGAGTGCTTCTGAATATCAGTGAGAGGGCTGTGAAAGAATAAAGAAAAAAGATTGAGCTCTGAGAATAAAAACATAAAGGGATATTGAACCTAGGTCTAAAACTTTACTGAGTAGCTCAAATATTGACCTTTTTGGATTATTTGATTTATATGAATCTGCTGGTACATTGATATTATCAATCAAATATTCAAACACTGAAATAATTCTGAAGGTCTTTCTTCTGCACAGTATATGGACAATGCGCTGTTTTACAAATGTATTATAAATACGCAGAGAATGCAGTAAATTTTAGAATCTAGAAAACCTAGTAACATAAATAAATGGGAAACCTAGCTTCGTTTTCTTAATGAAGTTTATTAATATTCTGCTGTCATTTGTCTAGTTTAACGGCTTACAGAAATGTTTTCCTAAACAGTCCATTTTGAACCCTCATTCTAGTAAAGTCGTCTGTGTGACATATTATGTCAAGTCGTTTCAATGAGAACGATTCCCTGTCCTTAAATGACCCTAAATAAATCATATGCTTAACCTTTACTCTTCTAACTGTAAAGAGGTATATAAACATGGAAATATAATGTTAAAGGGGGTATAGAGTAATTTAATAGTGCAGTCTATAGCAGTTTATCTACAATGCAACATCTCCCTCTGTATTGCTGACCTAACGCAAAGTCAGTGTGCATGCCTTTGTTATTGATTATTAAACTATTAAAACTGATTATAATGTTACCAAATTAAAAGTATATTAGGCTTACAATTTCAATCTAAAAAAAATGTTCAAATTAGACACCTTAAGCTAATTATCCAATGATGATTTAACTCCGGAAGACAACATATAGAAATCTTACCGCTTAATCCGGAGTAGCCCCAATGGGTGCCGGCAGCATCTGTAACAAAACAGAAATAAATATTAGCATATTAGTCAGGAATCCAGGATACCTGGGACACCTATGATTTTAAATGACAAGTATTTATCGTCACTTTCAATTTCTTAATTAATATAAAGCACTAATACTTTAGTTATTGACTTAGATAGCCACTAAGAGTTATTCCCCTTTATTAGGATTTTTTCTTGATTGAGAGTTCAGTGATGTTGTTTGAATTTCAAAAAGCAAATTGAAAAACAGAACAAAACAGCACGCAGAGTCATTTATGCATTGAAGATTTAAATCTCTCAATAAAAATGTACTTATATTGCCAATGGGTACAAGGTACATGTAAGAATGCATGATAAAAATTTAAAACATTAATTGATACTAAATATGATAAGCATTCTTATACATCTGTTATACATGTAAGAGACTGTTTTATAAATGTAAAGAGTTTTAAATTAGTCTCTGAAGTAATGTCACTAATGATGGGCTTTCACCTTCAATCATTTCCCGTTTGGCTGTACGAAAAGCGAGAGACACATACGTGTGTCATATTATGTGTGATCAGCGTTAAAAAGATAAACATGCACTACTTCCAATACTCAAGATACAAAAATAAAAAATTTGAAGGAAAATAATTTAAAGAAATTTAAAATTAAACTAGAACAATGTATAATACTCTGCAATTAGTTAATTACTGTGCTGTTTTATTTCGGCTATATCCTGTTATCTGCAACGCGTTGCTTATAAGTTTTGGGGTACTTCAACTGTATTTGAAAAGATGAATGGTAGTCCAACATTATCAGAAAAAGGCAAATTATCGATCTTTACGCTTTTACGGAATAAGCCGCATGATTTTAAACTATCCTAATAACAAACACACTCGCTCACAAAAACAAAGCAAAGAAATGTAGTTAGCCAGTAAAAAGTACCAGGAAGTCGCATATTATCGTATTTTACGCATTTACGGAATAAGCCGCATGATATTAAACTATCCTAATAACAAACACACTCGCTCACAAAAACAAAGCAAAGAAATGTAGTTAGCCAGTAAAAAGTACCAGGAAGTCGCATATTATCGTATTTTACGCTTTTACGGAATAAGCCGCATGATATTATAACTCCTTAAAAACAAACGCACACTTGTAAGAGAAATGAAAACCCTTAAATGCAATTATACTTGTGAAAGAAAAAGTACAGCGAAAACGCAAATTATCGTTCTTTACGCTTATACGGAATAAGCCGCATGATTAACCATCCTTAAAAACAAACACACACAAACAAGAATCCAATTAAACAAAACCCTAAAATGTCGTTTGCAAAGAAAAGGTAATGAGGTACCAGAAAAACACCAAATTAACCAGAAAAACAAACACAGTCACACAAAAACGAAAGTTAGCAGTGAAAATCGTGAAACACATGGTATTAATATTGATATACCCCTAGAGGAATTACCCCCCGACTGTTTAAAATTAAGCATTTTGTTAATATTCATGATGAAACACGCATAGATATTTTTTCATCACTTTAACTTTTTATAACACAATATGGCTGTAGTTTATTTCGATATGGATTTTTATATTTTGTATTAATAATCTTCTTTGGTTCTACAGAAAAAGCCACATGAAGGACATATGATATACTTGATAAATATTTCTTTATCGCATGTAATTTCCCTGGACTATTTTGTTAACATTCATAGAAAATTTTCTCATCACTTTCATCTATTTGCAAAAAAAATATATGACTGTATTTGTTGCGATAGTTATCACATTTAATTTCAATAAATATCCTTAAATTATCCTTTTTAGCGGTTTAACCAAATTTCTTGCAAAAAATACATATACATGTGTATATATATTTTTGTATTCAGTTGATATAATGAACACGTGAATTGAATAAAACAATATTTTTCAATATTCGACTATCAAAACCATCTTCCAGGAAAATAGTTCGTTTAAAACAGAAGTTTAAATAACATAATAATGAAATTCGTCGCCTTATACTCCTGTTATTTGCAACGCTCTATGGAGAAATCGGTCATTTTACTATGGAGCGATGCGTGCAACGCATGCAAAATAAAATAGCGCTTTATTCCGTCAAATGTCAAGTTATTTTTATCTTGACCCCCCCCCCCCAAAAAAAAAAAGTCAAGCCCCATTTTTTCTGATATTAACCCCCCAAGAAAACCCTTTTCCCGGGGAAACTTCCCCTTTATGTACACTTATATTGTTTCACTTGCAGGAAAGTAAAATTCGTCGGCCTATATATACTCCTGTTATTTGCAACGCTCTATGGAGAAATCGATCATTTTTCTATGGAGCGTTGCGTGCAACGCATGCGAAATAAAATAGCGCTTTATTCCGTCAAATGTCTTTATTTTTATCTTGACCCCCCCCCCCCAAAAGCCAAGCCCCATTTTTTCTGATATTAACCCCCCAAGAAAACCCTCTTCCCGGGGAAACTTCCCCTTTATGTACACTTATATTGTTTCAACACCAGGAAAATAAAATTCGTCGCTCTATATATACTCCTGTTATTTGCAACGCTCTATGGAGAAATCGATCATTTTACTATGGAGCGTTGCGTGCAACGCATGCAAAATAAAATAGCGCTTTATTCCGTCAAATGTATTTATTTTATCTTGATTCCCCCAAAAATAACCTAGCCCCATTTTTTCTGATATTAACCCCCCAAGAAAACCCTCTTCCCGGGGAAACTTCCCCTTTATGTACACTTATATAGTTCCTATAAAAGGAAAATAAAATTCGTCGGCCTATATATACTCCTGTTATTTGCAACGCTCTATGGAGAAATCGATCATTTTACTATGGAGCGTTGCGTGCAACGCATGCAAAATAAAATAGCGCTTTATTCCGTCAAATGTATTCATTTTATCTTGATTCCCCCCAAAATAACCTAGCCCCATTTTTTCTGATATTAACCCCCCAAGAAAACCCTCTTCCCGGGGAAACTTCCCCTTTATGTACACTTATATAGTTCCTATAAAAGGAAAATAAAATTCGTCGGCCTATATATACTCCTGTTATTTGCAACGCTCTATGGAGAAATCGATCATTTTACTATGGAGCGTTGCGTGCAACGCATGCAAAATAAAATAGCGCTTTATTCCGTCAAATGTATTCATTTTATCTTGATTCCCCCCAAAATAACCTAGCCCCATTTTTTCTGATATTAACCCCCCAAGAAAACCCTCTTCCCGGGGAAACTTCCCCTTTATGTACACTTATATAGTTTCTATAAAAGGAAAATAAAATTCGTCGGCCTATATATACTCCTGTTATTTGCAACGCTCTATGGAGAAATCGATCATTTTACTATGGAGCGTTGCGTGCAACGCATGCGAAATAAAATAGCGCTTTATTCCGTCAAATGTATTCATTTTATCTTGATTCCCCCCAAAATAACCTAGCCCCATTTTTTCTGATATTAACCCCCCAAGAAAACCCTCTTCCCGGGGAAACTTCCCCTTTATGTACACTTATATAGTAAGTTTCTATAACAGGAAAATAAAATTCGTCGGCCTATATATACTCCTGTTATTTGCAACGCTCTATGGAGAAATCGATCATTTTACTATGGAGCGTTGCATGCAACGTTTTCTAGAATCAGAGAATTAATATGATAAATCTGCTTCATACTTGTAATTATAAGTATTCTTAGACGCCTTTTAAAATATTTCCTTATAATTTGCTTTATTTTCCTCAAATATACCTGAAAGAATTTCATTTTATAAGGATCAGGTATGTTATTTTAATTATTTTCTGTGGTAAAAACTTAAATGCAACGCGTTGCAAATAACAGGATATAGCCTTTATTTCACCAAGGAGTCAAGGTGACTTTGTAATTAAATTCAGGAGGAAAACAATTGTTGATTTTTAAAGTCGGTGAAATATTGAAGAACTGATAAAGGGTAAACATGTACGATTAACGGGATATTGATCATGATCTTAAAAAAAAAAATGCAGAGGTTATGTCAGTACACAGTGTTCATTCTTAAGAGACTTGTACGGATTGCCAAAAGATTTTTTCACCAGGTGCCAAAAAAAAAAGGAAACTTGTTAAGCTTTTTATGAACATCCAAATAAAAATTTACAAACATGGAGGGGTATAAAATTAAATTTCTATATTAAGGATTAGGTAGATTTTGATTGTTTTTATATAATATTAATTGTCTTACCTGTACAGGTGAGGTAGAGAGATAAAATCACTAACACGACAGACATTGCTTGTTTGAAGGGCAAACTTAGACTAAATGTGGGCTAAATTTGACAACTTGCATTTACAATGCTGAACCAAAAAGGGTTTGAGGCACAGAAGGGGACAACAATACAAACTGATTAGGACTCAGAAACAAAGCAATTACAAGGTGCCTCAGGGGGTAAAATCTCTAAGGGTCTCAAATGTGAATGGCATGTCCTTTGAATCTGGTAA